TGGGCAGGACAGACCGCTACAAACTAAAGATCGAACTGTTTTTTTAATTTTTAATTTTTGTTATTGCGATCCAATTATTTTCCACGATGATCATTTTAGTATTTTTGTCATTTAGCAAGTTCAAATGCTTTTCCCCATGATAAAAAGTCTGGTGGTTTTGGTATTGACGTGAGTTTTCCGGTCTTTTGATGTGATTAGATATCTATTTAAGGTCACTATGAAGATCTATATCGCATGTGCCAAGGCGCATTCTCTATAACTTTTGACAACTGTTTTATAAAATTTGTTGTTATGAATTGGGATGAGCTAGCACAGCGCCAAAATTGTTGTTTTGTAACCAATAACACTTCTAAATTGTTCATCAATAGTCTGCTTAATACATATATGTCTTTTGTATTAAACATTATACAGGTTGACAATTACACAAGATTAAAATCGAAGGAAAAATAACCTCTATGTAAAAAAAGGCATACACTATAGGTAAACTCTAATTTTGCATTAACTGATGAAAATTAAGAGCTTTTATTCTAGCTGGCACCAAGTTATAGAAATTTATGGTAAATAACCTTGAACCATTTCTGATCTCTCAAGTCGGCCAAATTCGTGGTATAAGAATATTGTTAAATTATGGGAGATAATTGTGAAAATCTACATGCGCATGTATTAGCTAAGATTTTGTTTAATGTGCACAGACACTGCATAATTATACACAAGGTAAGACAAACATTTTTTAAAGCTCTAAAGGAATTTCTACAGTCTGCACTAAACAGACCCAGAGATAATACGAACACACTTTCTTGGTAGAGCAAACCTATATCAATATGAAAAGAGTGACCCCAGGAGAAAAAAGCAACAGACCAGATGAAAATTACTATGATAAGCAGTTAAAATAGTTTTCCCGGAAGTCATGTACAAGGTTCCTGAAGAGGAAGAGGTAGAGAAATAGAAAAGCTTATTCCATAGAAAACTATATGTGTTCCCAAGTTATTCCGCATCAAATATATCCCCAGAACATCGCTCCGGTTAACTTGGTGATTTGAATGGTTCAAGAGAAACGGTTAGTGTAAAAACCAATTAAATAGGTTTTTTTTAGATTTTGGTAATCAAGGTGTCAGAATTCAACAAGGATGATACTAGCATAGAAAGTAATGTCATCAACAAATAAAACATGTTAATGAATTGAAATAAATCAGTAAATAAAACAAATCATACTACCAATGCCGTACAAGAAATAATAATTAATGATCAGGAACATAGTTCAAACATTTACTATATTGCTGATGATGATGGGATCTTCGTTTTACTATGGTAACTGTTTGTAATTGGGAGAAGTTTCTTAGGAAATAGTTGTTAAACAAATGTTCATTGGCTAACATTTTTATTGTTAACTAAATGTATTACTAATAAAAGGTTACAAATTTGGTTGTAACCCATTTGTTTTTAAAATAGACCTCTAACCTCATCGGTTATTATCACTAAAGACATCCCGCCAGCCAAGGGACATATGGATGACAATAAGGGGTTTTTTTGCATCCACATCTGACACTTATCTAATAATTTTACAGCTACATTTAACACTCAATTGAACCTTAAGCTTAAGCTTGGTTCAAGCTCATTTGTAAAAACGCGTGTTATTTTATTATCTCATAAATTGAATATACTAAATAATATACCTTCGGTAATTATTAAAATGTGTTTATTTAAAAAGATAACTACAAGGTGGTCCAGAATTATGTACATTAATTTCTAGAAATTCTTATTTTTTCAAATATCTTCCAAACGGTTTTGAATACGGAGTTCATAGGTATTTTGGGAGTGATAAGACATTAGGATAATTAATTTCATGTCACCACCTACCACATCCTATATTAATACAGGGTAGTTTTGGAGGGTAACTGGGGGTTATTGCGTCACATGTTTTTTAATTTTTACATATTTTAAAAAAATATTTTAAAACTTGTTTCCTTAGACTTTTCTACGCAAAAGAGGTGCTCTTGTAATATTTCGATAGATATCACCGTTTTCGATTTATTTAAACTCGAAGGTATACATGTATTTTATTGTAATCTTTACATTTCTTAATATTCATCAAGTATGCTTTGGAATTGACACTTATCTTTAGGAACAATTTTATAGTTTATTTTTATGAACGCGAGAGTAATTAGCATAATTTTAACTGGTACCTTCGACCACTCCATGGGCGTGCTCAAGATTAATTGAAAAATTACTTTGAATAATTGTAAAAAATAAATGAATTATTTCAGTGGTATAAAGTGTTACGTGTATGTAAACAAAAGTGACCTCTTTTATCATACACTATATTAGAACTGACTGGCCTACATTAAAAAGGTTTTAAAAAATTCACATTTTTTTTAATTTTTAAAAATTACAAAAGAGAAAAAGAGTTTTTAAAACCGTCTAAGGTATGTTAAATAGATGAATAAAAATATTAATATAAAACTTACAGCTACTTGTTACAAATCCAAATCAGATTCAGAAGATGAACTTTCAGAACCAAGATTTATAATAACTGGCTCGATCATTTTATCAGTAATATTGTCCAGCTTCCACATTTTTTCCTCTTCTTTAATAGTGTGATTTACTGCCTTTTCCCAGTTTTCAGGTTTTACATTATTTACGGCCTCCAAAAACAACTGTTTAACATCATGAATTTTAAAAGTGGTATTTTTTCTTGAAACTTCACTCTTTATCTGTGCCCATACCAGTTCAATCGGGTTTAATTCACAATGATATGGTGGGGATCTAAGTACTGTCATTCCACGATTTTTGGCAATTTCATCAATTTCGTATTTTTTAAATTTTTCTTTATGAAGGGCACACAACGAATAAAGTTCCTTTCTTATAGATCCGGGATGGTACGTAATATTTTTTGAACTCAGCCAATTCTGCAAGTCTTTTTTAACCACTTGGTTGTGGGCAGTCCTTCTATAAGTCTGGAGTGATAACTTGCATTATCCATTACTATTACACAGTTCTTAGGAAGAAGATCTATCATTTGTTTGAACCATTCTTGAAAGACATCAGCGTTCATGTCTTCATGGTAGTTACCGGTACGAGTTGATTCAAAAGTTAATAAACCACCTTCAACAAAACCGTTTGAACTGCCAATGTGTACTATTATCAGCCTGCGTCCCTTTCCTGATGGTGGGTTTAAACCAGTAGATAAGTTATTTACAAAAGCGTGCCTTTGACTTCTGACAGTTTCATCCTGCCAAAATTTATTTGGTGTATGACCCTCGTTGATCCATGTTTCATCAAGATAAAATATTTTTCTTTTTTGGTTTCTCATTTCCTTTATGGTTCTTAGAAAATGTCTTCTCCATATGACAATATCGCTTCTTTCTAATAAAATAGACTTTCTGGGATTCTTTTTCCAGCGGAAGCCTATTTCTTTTAAAAGTTTCCATAACGTACTTCGACTCATTTCTGTGTAATCCTTATCATCTCGAACTGAGACATGAACTTTATCCAATGTTGGAAATTCTTGTCTAAAGAAGAATTCATGCACTTTCCGTCGAAGTCCTTCTTCAAAATGATATTCTATTTGAAATTTTGGTTTCCCTGGAGCATTACGTGGCATTTGAAAACTACCACATTTCTCTTCTTTAATAACTCTGTAAATCGTAGATTTTCCAACACCAAGTGTACTGCTAACTAACTCAACGGTCTCATCAACACTTTCACATAAACGTTTGTCTGTAAATGATTTAAAACAATTAAATATTAATGTTTTTTCATTAACTGTTAAAGGACCAATTTTTCGGCGTTTACACGGCACTTCCAAATTTTCCATAACACTAGTATACACAATAAACTGCACCTTGCAACTGAAGTACCTACTTTTAGTGAACTGTTAAGAATTTTGAATATGCCACTTGGACCTTCCTACAAAATGGAAAAACCCACTATCACATTTTCTGTGGAATAAGTTTAGAAGGTAATTATCTAGTCAATTACTGTCGTAGATTCCTGGAATTAAAGAATTAAATGTTTGATTGTTGAAACCCTTACTTCGTGGAATGCACTCATTTCAGATAAAATAAAACGTTTTATTTTATCTAAAGAATTAAACTTTATTTTGCAAATAGGTAGGTACTTATTAAACTTTTATTGGTTATATATAACCAATACAATAAACATCTTACATTTCTTGCAAATTCATTAGTACCTGTTAACCTCCATCACTCCGACACTGGCAACCTTATTTAGGGATTAGTAACCCTCACAACTATTGTATTCTATTCTGCTCCAACCTTTATACCTGGTGGTCATACTCAATTTAAAATTGTTTTTCTATATACTTCTGTAAACTTGTTGACAAATATCTGTTTTTCATTGAGTCACCCGTATCAACAGTTTAGGGATTTGCATACATAATTTATTGTTTTATTACTCTCTCATACATAAAAATACACTATAGTGATAAGGTACAAAGAATTAATGAATGAATGATTGTATTTTGTGGCATTTGATAATTTTATACAGCTATGGATATACGGCTACTGTATAAAACATTATCAATTACAACAGCAGATCACACAGATAAACTATGGATCTCTTTTATCAAACATTCTTCACAATTTTTTTTTAATTATGTCATCATGACAATCTCCCCGATAGTATGTTTCGCCTATTTCATTCAGGCAAGCTCGAATTGTGTGTTAGCTGTTACCTATTAAATTAATCACACTTAAAATATCGCGCAAATTACTCAAACCTTCTTCATTGTTTGCTAACAATAAAAAACGAATACAGTTGACCTGCTTTGCTTAAATCCTCAATAGAATCTCGCATCCTTTGCCTCCCTAATCAATTACTAGTAATTCTCGGCCAGTATACCTTTTTAAGCTACGTAATTTATAAATTCACAAGGATACTTCCCTAACCAATATAGTGTTTCACAAAAAAGAACGGGCGTTAATTGACGAAACTCAAACATCATTAGCAGGCACTATGCCCTCTGGGGGGCCCCGACTTTCTCAAGCTTCTTTCGTTATTCGTTCCGGTTTCTGACCTGTATCGGCCAGTCTAGTGCCATGACCCGCCCATTTTAATCCGCCGATTTTTGTTGCGGTTTGCGTGTCTTTTGTTTCCGGCTTCTTTGTATACTTTATAGAGGTCAAAACTGTACCTCTTCGTTTATCTCCGCCGATCTCGCTGAACTGTTACACAAAATTTACAAATGATGAAGGAGTTAGAGCTTTGGGTTTTATTTCAGAATTAATCAAAATATAAATACGGATCAATATAAATTTTGTGTTTTAGTTTAGATGTATAAGTCTGAATGTAGAATTAAAATGTGTTTTATGTATTGTTATTTGAAACGATAATTTGGATGTACAGCTGGTTCCTAAAAAAACTGATACGAGTCTTAGTAAGATTTGATTATTTTGAGCAGTGTATTTAATTGATCCGACATTATATTATATTTATTATGACAGACAAATAAAAAAATAAGCAATCAAACAATAACTGATTACATATGAAGAGTACAGGTCCATAAAGAGCTAAGTCACCAAATGTTTATTTCGTACAAAACGAAGTTTAAATTTTAAAACCAGTTATTGATAAATTATTGATGGTTATCATGACCTCTATTGATTAAATCAGTTACTTAAGTAATTAATGAAACACACAGAAGAAATTAAATTTATATTGATATTATAAAAAATAGAACAGAAGCTTTAATTGGTCAAACCACCAAACATTATTGGCCTAAAGGGGCCAAGTCAAAAAAAAAAACAAGTTAAAATGACAAGTAGACAAAAGGTATTAATATGAAATAATTCTAATTCTTAGGCAGGTTATCAAAAAATTGTTTTACTTCGTCACCACAGAATCGTTTCAAATCTTGTAGGCATTTAAATTTTTAGCCGAGATTGGTAAAAGACCTAAAAATAATGTTGTTTAATAATAGTATTCCAAGATATTAATAATTTTTTATACCTGAATAAGAATACGGAGGAAGTTCAAATTCATTTTGTAGTAGCACTGGTCCCTTTCGCTTACTATCTTTTTCCTTCACTATTGCTGACTCCCATGCTCCATTATAGGACTCCCGGTAATATATCAATCTACGATGATCTTGATGTATTTCTAATTCTCGAATTGGGCGGGAACTGAAAGGACATTTCTTCAAATAATCTGTTTTCGTATTAAAAAAATTCGTCCATGCTCGAAAGTAGGATTGATCTATTTCCACAACGTCAAAGGGCGATGGTTTTGCACGAGCACTTCTAAAAATTTCAACCCAATCTAAAGGAATCTCAGCTCGTTGTTTGGAGTTTATTAAGCCCATATTTTTATCCGGTTCCATATAGGAATGGCCACGAATAGGGAAAGTAACTTTAACATAATCAAGTCTACGTGTATTGTGGACAATATAATGCAAAAAACGAAACATGGTGAAATTTTTAATTTGTCCCCCACACGAGGCGCAGAATATTTCAAGCGATCTTACTTGTATATCGAGAAAATTCCAAAGAAAGTCATTCAGCATTGAGCATACATCGTCGCTTCCCTTTTTGCCAATTGTTTCCGGGTAAATGTAAAACACACTTTTTGCTGTAGATAGAATGTGGACATTAAAGGCATAGACGTTCAGCTGGCGCTTATAGTAAACATCGTTTGTTGTTATGTTTGGGACACTGAATTTTTTTCCAAAATCGAGACAAATAGCTTCGTGAGTCACAGAGGTTCGAGTTTTTTTCTTCGCAGCTCTTTTTCTACTGTAAAATACCTGAGCCTTTCTTTTGTGTACATCATTTTGTATCGTAAGCTGGCGTATTTCCTTTTGCAAGCGTTCATTTTCAGCAAGATCGAAACTACTGTTTAAAATATCAGAATGAAGAGATTTTATTTTTATAAGAAACTCATCACAGGAACTACATGTATCAGTTCTGGGATATCCAAAGGCTATGTTAAATTTTGTATTAAAGACTGTTCTGTAAGACTCGTAAGATATTGTCATAGAAGGATTCAACTCGCAAAACATTTTGAACATCTTTTTTATGTTTAACTCTTCAGGTAAGTATAATTTTTTACTATCATTCACACTATAGTGGCTTTTCCTGCCTTTAAATGACTTTATATGTTCGTATATTGCTACAAGAACGTTGGATTCCAATTTTCTAGGATGGTTTGTATTTTCTCCCCTTTTATCTTTAGGGGCGACTCCAGTCATTTTTAGTGAATTTTGTAATATCTCTATTTTTTCATGTCTATTCCATGAATAGACATAAAAGCTTGTCTACAAATATTTATTTCTTTTAAGCTATTATCAGTGCTAAAACGTACCCTGTAAGAATATGCAGCACTTTTCAAATTTGCTTCGTTTTCATCTTTCCTAGGCCTTCTTCGGCGAATAGGCAGTACTGTAATCAATCCACATAAGTATGAGTTCTGCTCATTAATAGAAGTTATTGTGTTAAAATTTTTAAGTACAGTTTTTCTTGCTTCTTCGGGCACATTTTGAAAACATTGTTTACGACAATTACAGGTTGCACCTACCTCGTGACTCTGCAGTCTAATTTTTTTCATGACATCTCTCATTCTGCCGTGCTTTTTCCTTTTTTTTGATTCATTCTGTTTAGGCACTACTTCAGTCTCATTTCCACTACTATTGTTTTCTGTATTCATTGTTATTTACTTTTAAATCACTTAAAAAACAATGAAAACAAACTAAACCGACGAACCTAACTCTAAACTGCGCGTATTAGATTAACGTCTATTAGCTGTTTATATGGACTTTACCCTTTTAGGACCTGCCTGATAAGGACTCTCCCCTATTGGTGGTGTATGCGTAAATTAGAATTAGTATTTCACGGGAACTAAGCGCTTTTAGGACGTGTAACCAGTCGCTGACCACTTCTACGTTAAAATTGCTACAAGATGGCACCACTAGATCTATTTATGAAAAATTGCGACTTGCCCCCTTTTGGCCTTGTACCCTTCATATGTTAACTCATAAATTGTAATAATTATTAAGGTTTAAATTTTGAATTCCTGCATTTTATAAAGAGTATACAAGGTGGTCCTTAAGTAATTGTACAAAAAGAAACCGTAGATTCTACACTTTAAAATATTACGATTTAAGTCAAGTTGCTTTAATAAAATGTTGATATTAAGAAAGATACAGGGTGTTAAAGTGGAAATTTAAAATTTTATTTTTCGATATAACTTTCATGTTTCCCAACATTTATGTATAGAAATTTACTACTGGGTACTATTAAATATCAGTAATTATAATTTGATGTATGCTTTGATGTAACTGATAGAGGGCGCCACATATGTGGCATAAATTTGCACGTAACTTTTTTACTCTTCAAGCTACCGGTATTTTTAATAAAAAATATTAAAGATACTTTATTCTAACAAAAAAATGTATACTTGTTAATATCTTCAAAACTCAACAGTTTTCGAGATAATCGCATTTTAGAAATCAACTACATAATTCTGATTTATCGCAATTACTCTAGACAACGAAAGAAAATTAAAGAAAAACATCAATACTTCTGAAATTTGGTTTAAAATACCTTTAATAAAGTTAATAGTTAATGAATTATTAAATAAAATAAATATATTAGCAGGATAAAATAATAGGATTTGATAAATAACAGAATAATTGGATTTTACATCAAACATTTTACGTTTTGTATTAAATTAAAGTCATAATCAAAACATTTTATTTACAAACCAAATTAAGAAATAGTTAAAGTAAATAACATTAAACTTTTTGTCAAAGTAAGTGTTCAATATGTCCACCATTTTCTTTAATTCATTTGTCTATACATTCCATAAAATAGCGTCTCATATTAAATAGCGTCATTGGTTCTAAAGAAATTGATGCAGTATTTATTATAAGTGTTATAAGTAGAATAATAAGTAATGTTTTGAAATGTTTATGAATTAAATAATTATATTAGTATCTCACCACAAGAATATGACTACCATGAACAATCCAACGTTAAGGAAAGTTGTATTTAACTACTGTCTCACTCCGCTTTCTGTGTAATGTAATGGTGTATCATTTTGTAGAAACCACATATTTCGCCTTAAATTTGATGACATTTCTTACAATAAATCAATAAAATTATTTTATAAAAAATGTAAATAAATCTCGACATTCAAATTGCAAGGTAATTCGCATATTCACTTACAAAGAGAAAGATAAACGCCACTGAAATGTTCTGATGCAGAAGAATGTTACGAATTCCGTGAACCAACCACAGGAGAAAGAATTCAATTTTAAATGAGCTAAAGATTAGCAAACGGCTCTACAGCAAAATCCATCTCCAACAATTAAAATACTTTAGACATGTTATGAGAGAAAACACAGAAAACATCGAAATACTTATTATCCAAGGAAAGGTAGAAGGTCGAAGGTCACGAGGAAGATCCCCAACAAGATAGATCTTGTTGGGGATCTCTTCTTTGTGCATTTTAACTAAGGAATAAAGTTTTGGAAGACAGTTTCTGAACGTGTGTGAAGATTCTTTAGAATTTATTGAATAAAGCTTACAGTAAAAATTATATAGGAGACTTCAATGTTCAGTCACAACAGCAACCCTAAAACGAGGACAAACAAGTTCTCTCAATTTACATGTAAATGAGTTTTATTTAATTATCCAGTTCTCTCGGAACCCGAAGTGATTACTTCCCGTTTTATAATTTCTCCCACATAACTAGAAAAAGGTTTGAATCCAAGATACTATAGGGTCATAAACTTAATAAATACATACTAAAAGTATCAATGTCAGTATCAGTATCAAAATCAATAAAAAATAAACTGAATTAACATTTAATATTACGAGAAGATCAATAAGCCTTTAGATCTGGAAGATCATGTACTGAAACTATTTTATAGCCAGACTGTAGACTTTATTGTAGACTTGAAAGACTTTCGGCAGGAACAAACTGACAACCGTCATCCACAAGAAATATACCACTAATCATTATCAAAATGGTCGAAACATATATCAAACCAACACAATAAAAGAAGAACTAACTAATCTGATCAAAGTTGACACTAAAATAAGACAGAGATTATTTTGAGTCTGATGGTGTTTAAAAAGGTTCTTGAAACTGTTTGTTAAACAATCGTTAGATACGATGAACCTTTTTACAAAAATTACCTCTCGGGTGCTATAATAGTATCTCCGTTAAAATTACCACCTCCTCGTTTTGGCTAAAGTTGGCGGTGGTTTTTCTCTGCAAATATAGAATATAATCTCTCAAAGAAAGCGCCGAAAGATATCCCGTGAGCTGAAGTTCATTTTAGACCACACACCAACTAAAAGGTAATTTAACATGTATTGTTTTATGGAACGAACTGCTGAAGTGAAAATTGGCGGTAAAAGGAAAAAGGAATGGGAAAACGTGACATAACAGGCGATGTAGTTCGAACACCTAGATATCACTCTACCAAACCAGAGAAAGCACGAAACAGAAGTAGAAGAATAGTTGACTAGAGCAAACATAGTCGAAGATGTCTCGGAATAGCACAACATGAAGAATAAAGAATGCTAGAAACCGCAGAAATGAAAAGCCTCAGATAAGACGCAGATATGCAAGGCAAAACGTTAATGAATATTCCCCAGGCCATCAGTGGAATGGAATCTGGAGCAAAAATGAAAGAAGAAGGAAAATAACTTTACAATAAACCCGAATCCGGCATCAGTTTTTCTCGATATGTTGCCGTTTTAACTGTACTAATAAATGGGCAGACAGACCGCACAAACTAAATGATCGAACTGTTTTTTAATTTTTAATATTTGTTATTGCGATCCAATTATTTTCCACTGAATCATTTAGTATTTTGTCATTTAGCAAGTTCAAATGCTTTCCCCATGATAATAAGTCTGGTGGTTTTGGTATTGACGTGAGTTTTCGGTCTTTTGATGTGATTTAGATATCTATGTTAAGGTCACTATGAAGATCAATATCGCATGTGCCAAGGCGCATTCTCTATAACTTTTGACACTGTTTTTTAAAAATGTTGGTTGTTATGATTTGGGATGAGCTAGCACAGCGCCATAATTGTTCTGTTAGAACCAATAAGAGTTCTAACTTGTTCATCAATAGTCTGCTTACTACATATATGTTCTTTCCATCGAAGCTGAGTTGGTATAGTAGATTAAACATGAAAAGAATATACGAGTGATATATACACACAAAATTGAGGAAATGATTAATTTTCTTGGGATATCCTATCCGTATATTCCTTAGATAAACTATATTTTCTGCGTTCTTCATAATATTGTTAATATATTCCTTTAGAATTTTGATATATCCACGCCTCAAATGCCTCTATTCAAATATTTACTAAGATGAAAGAAATGAAAGGTAGAGTTTACAAAATAGTCATCAGATCAATAATGACATACGCGACAGAAACATGACCTGACACAGAGAGGACAAAAAGAATGTTAGAATAGAATAGATAGATGGTTTATTGTTAATAAATGAATACAAAAGTATTTTTTACAAGTCAAAGGAAAAAAATAATATATGTCAATATAGTTAATATACACATAAATATAAATATAAAACATAAAACATAGATACAGTGTTTTAACTTATACTGTTGACAATTACAACAAATTAAAATCAGAAGTAAAATACTCTACTCTTAATGAAAATTAAAAGCTTTTATTCTAGCTGGCACTAAGTTATAGAATTTTATGGCTAAATACCTTGAACCATTTCTGGATCTCTCAAGTCGGCCAAATTCTTGTATAAGATTATTGTTAAATCTGGTGGGATATTGGCCATAGAATTTTTGTTTAATGTGCAACAGACACTGCATAATGTATACACAAGGTAAAGTTAAAATTTTTAAAGCTCTAAAGGAGTTTCTACAGTCTGCTCTATAACAGAGCCCAGAGATAATACGAACACACTTTCTTTGTTGTGCAAACACTTTATTAATATGAAAAGAGTGACCCCAGGAGAAAATAGCATATGTCAGATGAGAATGAAAATTACTATGATAAGCTGTTAAAATAGTTTCCCCGGAAGTCACTTGTACAAGGTTCCTGAAGAGGAAGAGTTGTCGAGAAAGCTTTTTCGATAGATTAACTATATGTTGTTCCCAGGTTATTCCTGCATCCAAATATATCCCCAGAAACTTCGCTCCGGTTACACTTTGTGATTTAGAATTGTTCAAAGAGAGACGGTTAGTTAAAAACCACTTAAATAGGTTTTTTTAGATTTTTGGTAATCAAGGGTGTCGAATTCAGAAGGATGATAGCTTGCATAGAAAGTAATGTCATCAGCAAATAAAATAGTGTTAACTGAATTGTAATAAATTAGTAAATAAACAAAACATTACTTACATGCCGGTACAAGAATTAATAATTAATGATTCGGAGAACATAGTTCAAACTATCCTGTATTACTGATGATGAGAGATCTTCGGTTTTACTGTTGTAACTGTTTGATAATTAGCGGGGAAGTTTCTTGAGGAGATAGATGTTAACAAATGTTCATTGGCTAACATTTTTTTGTTAAATATATGATTTCTATTATTGTTTACAATTTGGTTGTTATCAGGCCCAGGTAAAAGGGGACTTTGAATGACAGGGTTTTGCATCCACATCTGACACTTTCTTATTATTTTCAGCCACTTTAACATTCATTGACCTTAAGCTTAAGCCTGGTTCGAGGTCACTTAAATTGCCAATAGATGATTCGCTCGGGAAATGGGAGAAAGGAAACTGGTTGTTTACGTTTTTTACTCCATTATTTTTGAATAATTTAATTTTTTCTTGGAGTTCACGAATTATAAAATTTTTGTGATTAAGTATAATTTTTAAATACATATTCTACTTCCCTTTTTAAGACATCTTCAATAATATTTACATCTTCAGTAATTACGAGTTCAACACTAGTCTCACTGTCTAATTTTACATTTTTCATTCTTTTAGAACAGCTGGGTGGAGCTAATAAGGAACAATTCGCACATTTTATTAGCCCATTCCTCACTTTTTTAACACAGTCAATGCACAAGCAACTTGACACGTCCTTCTCGGTCGACTCCATCTTGGACTATGCTACAGAGCTAGATATACGACGCAGATGCAAGGTGGATAACATGAAGAACTGTGTAAGAAATAGAAGAGTAGAATGGAACGATCATATAAGCCGAATGACAACAAATAGAGTAGTAAAGATAGCAAGAGACGGTTCCCCAATAGGAAGACGATCAGTAGGAAGACCACGAAAGAGATGGAATGACAACTTACTGGAGGCACATTAAAAAGTAGACAGAGTCATGTCTACATAAAAAAAGAAGAAAAGAAGAAGATAAAAATTAACGTGTGTACGTAAGTAATAATAACATTTTAGTTTTTTTATATTAAAGTAATTGTATGTTTTCTGTAACAATTATTACCAGGTATCAATTATTACGTTTTTTCTGCATTGACCAACCTTGTATTTAGACCTATGCTAAAAAGTTTGTGCTATCAATCATATTCAAATATACTATAACAATTATTTATAAGAAAACCGCAAATTAAAAAGAAGATGAAGACAAATATTTATTACTATAAATTCAAACAAAACAAACTTTATTTGAATTTAAATTCTAATTATATATAATAATAAATAATATTATTACAATACTATTTTTTATCGGTATTGTCTCATTCACCTCGATTAACAAAAAAATTGCTAGTTTGTTAATATATTATATTCTCAAATGCCCATATTTCAATGTAGCGGAATAAAATATTTTAAAACAAATATTATCCTATTAACTTAAATGGCTTTATGCTCTATATTAAAGTAGGAGAATAACGTATGGTCCTTTTTCAAAGCCACGTCATATAAAAGCCGGTTTTTCCATTACACGGCATGGGGTTTTCCTGAGTAGAAATTGCCCTAGTTTTGTTTTCGTTTAATCTCCTTCTATTAAAAAGGTGGTGAGGAATTTAAAACATTTACAATATACTCATGAAACAAACCAGGATGATATAGGATAAATGGTTTTTTTATTAATATTCAGGATAATTTTTATTAATATATCTAGAAATAATCAAAAACAAATTTAACATGTTAGCAACCAAAATCACAGCTAACGCTAACAGTAACAATAAACAAAGTAAAAGGAGAAAATCCAAGTAGTTCGCTGTATACCATAGTTTAAACAACTACAAAGAAGTAAAAATTTCTGGTGTATAATGGTACTTATATTATTTTATTAAAAATTTATCCAAAAGGGTTACAAACGTTTTCAATTTTAAACATTTGAAAAAGTAGTTGAAACTATAGTGTATTTTTATGTATGAGAGAGTAATAAAACAATAAATTATGTATGCAAATCCCTAAACTGTTGATACGGGTGACTCAATGAAAAACAGATATTTGTCAACAAGTTTACAGAAGTATATAGGAAAACAATTTTAAATTGAGTATGACCACCAGGTATAAAAGGTTGGAGCAGAATAGAATACAATCGATTGTGAGGGTTACTAATCCCTAAATAAGGTTGCCAGTGTCGGAGTGATGGAGGTTAACAGGTACTAATGAATTTGCAAGAAATGTAAGATGTTTATTTTATTGGTTATATATAACCAATAAAAGTTTAATAAGTACCTACCTATTTGCAAAATAAAGTTTAATTCTTTAGATAAAATAAAACGTTTTATTTTATCTGAAATGAGTGCATTCCACGATGTAAGGGTTTCAACAATCAAACATTTAATTCTTTAATTCCAGGAATCTACGACAGTAATTGACTAGATAATTACCGAATTTCTAAACTTATTCCACAGAAAATGTGATAGTGGGTTTTTCCATTTTGTAGGAAGGTCCAAGTGGCGTATTCAAAATTCTTAACAGTTCACTAAAAGTAGGTACTTCAGTTGCAAGGTGCAGTTTATTGTGTATACTAGTGTTATGGAAAATTTGGAAGTGCCGTGTAAACGCCGAAAAATTGGTCCTTTAACAGTTAATGAAAAAACATTAATATTTAATTGTTTTAAATCATTTACAGACAAACGTTTATGTGAAAGTGTTGATGAGACAGTTGAGTTAGTTAGCAGTACACTTGGTGTTGGGAAATCTACGATTTACAGAGTTATTAAAGAAGAGAAATGTGGTAGTTTTCAAATGCCACGTAATGCTCCAGGGAAACCAAAATTTCAAATAGAATATCATTTTAAAGAAGGACTTCGACGGAAAGTGCATTAATTCTTCTTTAGACAAGAATTTACCAACATTGGATAAAGTTCTTGTCTCAGTTCGAGATGATAAGGATTACCCAGAAATGAGTCGAAGTACGTTATAGAAACTTTTAAAAGAAATAGGCTTCCGCTGGAAAAAGATTCCCAGAAAGTCTATTTTATTAGAAAGAAGCGATATTGTCATATGGAGAAGACATTTTCTAAGAACCATAAAGGAAATGAGAAACCAACAAAAGAAAAATATTTTATCTTGATGAAACATGGATCAACGAGGGTCATACACCAAATAAATTTTGGCAGGATGAAACTGTTACAAGTCAAAGGCACGCTTTTGTAAATAACTTATCTACTGGTTTAAACCCACCATCAGGAAAGGGACGCAGGCTGATAATAGTACACATTGGCAGTTCAGACGGTTTTGTTGAAGGTGGTTTATTAACTTTTGAATCAACTCGTACCGGTGACTACCATGAAGACATGAACGCTGATGTCTTTCAAGAATAGTTCGAACAAATGATAGATCTTCTTCCTAAGAACTGTGTAATAGTAATGGATAATGCAAGTTATCACTCCAGACTTATAGAAGGACTGCCCACAACCAAGTGGTTAAAAAAAGACTTGCAGAATTGGCTGAGTTCAAAAAATATTACGTACCATCCCGGATCTATAAGAAAGGAACTTTATTCGTTGTGTGCCCTTCATAAAGAAAAATTTAAAAAATACGAAATTGATGAAATTGACAAAAATCGTGGAATGACAGTACTTAGATCCCCACCATATCATTGTGAATTAAACCCGATTGAACTGGTATGGGCACAGATAAAGAGTGAAGTTTCAAGAAAAAATACCACTTTTAAAATTCATGATGTTAAACAGTTGTTTTTGGAGGCCGTAAATAATGTAAAACCTGAAAACTGGGAAAAGGCAGTAAATCACACTATTAAAGAAGAGGAAAAAATGTGGAAGCTGGACAATATTACTGATAAAATGATCGAGCCAGTTATTATAAATCTTGGTTCTGAAAGTTCATCTTCTGAATCTGATTTGGATTTGTAACAAGTAGCTGTAAGTTTTATATTAATATTTTTAATCATCTATTTAACATACCTTAGACGGTTTTAAAAACTCTTTTTCTCTTTTGTAATTTTTAAAAATTAAAAAAAATGTGAATTTTTTAAAACTCTTTTTAATGTAGGCCAGTCAGTTCTAATATAGTGTGTGATAAAAGAGGTCACTTTTGTTTACATACACATAACACTTTATAACACTGAAATAATTCATTTATTTTTTACAATTATTCAAAGTAATTTTTCAATTAATCTTGAACACGCCATGGAGTGGTCGGAGGTACCAGTTAAAATTATGCTAATTACTCTCTCGTTCATAAAAATAAACTATAGCTACTGAAATAGGTTTAAAAACCTTTAAATTAGGTGAAACTCATTGTTATATTTACGATGATGTTATGAAATTTCACCTAAAGAAAACATACTTTATGAATCCTGCTCATTTATATTTACTATTTATTAAGAGACCTGCTCGAAAAAGGGAACTAATTTGCCTACCGGGTATGTCAGTTGGCTTGTTATAACTTATAATAATTACTAATATAATTATAATTACTAATATAATTGACATATTAAAAAATGGGAGTAAAAAATACATTGTGAATAAAATATGTAGTTAAAATACTATATTTCTTTTCTTTGAACGCTAAATTTATTTCTAATTCAGTTATTTTAAAAATGTACTCACCATGTGCTTCTCCCGTCACTGGTGGATGATGGCCTGGAGGGGTGGGATAACCAGGCGTTGAGTGAGGTGATGAAAACGCACTGGAACAGCTATGACGAAGACCTAAATAAGTAAATAACGTAGTAAGGTTAAAATTAACTGCCTCGTTAGATAACATTACATTATTTTTTTTTACTGGTCTTATTTAAAACTGCGAATTTTAGGTCAGATTGCTAAAATCAACAAATTTTCAATTTAAATTATTTGATATATTACTTGAAATAGTATTACCTCACTTCAAATCTAGGTAACCTAATATATTGTTGTAATTTACTGGTCTTATTTAGAATAAGCCACTAATTGAGCATCAAAATGAAATTATTTTATTATTAAAGTAAAATTGTGGCTGATTCCAATAAAAATAGTACATTGCAGAACAATATTGTAGTATTTCACACTAGGAAGTTAAAACGAAAGACCGCTAATACGCATTTAGCTTCCAGATATCCACGGAAAAGGTAAAAAAATAGGAATTGAATGTTATCTTTCCACGACCACTTCAAATTTTATTTGAACATAATCATTTATGCCAGCCATAAACAACATCTATGTTTTACTATTCGGTAATTGGTGCTCCTGTTAAAACACATCAATTTGTGCTATGTGTTATCGATCGATTTATAAACATTTAAATAAGGTCTACTAAAGAGTAAATCATATATGTCGGTAAAGTTAGCATATCCATTTTGTAAGGTCGAATTCAGACCAGGATTATAATTGATACTAATTTATTACGGAAATCAAAGGGCTACAGTGCCCATCTTGGCGGCATATTTTATTGCTAATTAATCACTGTTGATTGGTGCATTGAAAAATACCCAAAAACTATCGTGTCTGTGGGCTCGGGAGACTGAGGCCTTGGGAGACCTGAAGAAGACATCAAAAAGAATGTCGAAACCTCGGCGCAATAATAATCGACGCGGTCTAACCCGGAGGACTGTTGAGTTTTAATATTAATTCTTGTAATAGTATCAATCTTAGATCTAGATTTAATATATATACAGCCTGGATAATAATCTATCGTCAGTATAGACCTTAGTTGAGATGGAGTGAGAAACACTGTTTAAGGGAGAGGTATATTATTAAATAAAATAAAAATAATTCCAACTACTGTTTAAATTAAAAATAATTCCAAACAATTAGAAATTCTAAACCAGTGATGAACAGTAACCGTATGTTTTGTAAATATGATCAGTGGAAAACTGTTGCCTAACGGCTATCGAAGAACCTTCTATGGAGATCTATCTTTTGATCTATCTATCTCTTGTCGGAGAGATGGACTTGTCGGAGACCGGTAGTTCAATATCAACTTTAAAAATGAATTACTTGTTCGTCGTAGATAAAATATAGTATGCAACTCGTTACGGTTTCCACATGTCTGTCATATGTTTCCATATGTCTATCATGCTTGTAATTGACTAAACGACAGTTAAAACTAGTTCGGTCCTGGCTAAGGTTCATACTCGGCCGGTAATGCAGATCCAATGCTTACTGACATAGGCGCCAGTGACGTCAGAGTGGACCTGGCTGGCGTCTGGCGACTTGTCTCGCCTAAGCGGCCCATACTATACTACGTTGGCTTTTTTAATTCCTAAAACCTTTAAATATTACGCATGTTTTGTAAACCGTACTGGTAACTTGGTTTTGGATACAGGAGTAAGTGACCTGAAAAACTACGGCCGGCCTCGTGTGTCCCGTACACCACAGATTATTAACGCTGTTAGGTCAAGAATTAACCGAAATCCTGTCCAAAAACAATAAATCGAGGCTTAGGGATGGATATTGCACCGAGAACTATGAATTGCATGATCAAACAAGACTTGGGACCTGGTACTTTCAAACGAGAAACAGAACAACGCTTTACAGTTGCCTTAAAACAAAATAGGAAAAATCAAGACGCCTATTGTCGTTGTATGGTAAAGAGCGTTACAAATACCTAGAAATCCACCTCGACAGAAGACTAAAATTCAAGAAACACACGCAACAAACCAAGATAAAAGTAAACGCTGCTGAAAACCTAATACTTGCTTATATATTTAGGTCCAGTCCACTATCGAAGGCCAAGAAGATCCAAGATATACCAGGCCTACGTTATATCGGTAATGCTGTATGCTGTCCCAGTTTAAAGTTCCATTTCGGAGTACAACTGGAAGAAACTTGAAGCAACAGAGACGTCATGTTACAGAATCATCGATGGATCAACATGGGAAGAACGGATTACAAATTCAACCATCAAAGAAAGGCTCCAGTACACACCACTGAGGTAGGTGGCAGAGAAAAGGACACGATATTTCTTCCACCAAGCCACAAGAAGACTCCTTAACATCAGAGACATCCTCGCGAAAAATCGGACCCAGAGAATGTTCAGAACAACTCATAGACATAGACTGATGGACCATCTGATCAGGGTCTAGCCAGGTCACAAGAAGAAGCCAAGGAGTCCACGACAGAAAAACTCAAGGTCCTAGAGGAAGAAACAGCGCAGCGGGACGTCAAGAAGAAAGAAGGCTACGATATTTGAAGTTTATAAAATATCTTAGGTGTGAAATGTAAATATTATTAAGGCAATAAATGTTTTTATTTTTATTTTGTTATATCCAGTTCAGTCTTTTCATCAGTGATACTGATGAAAATACTGAATTGGATATAATAAAATCTTAGTCTTACTGATGAAAGGTAAACCTTGAAACAGGTGTAGAAAACTGATGAGAGACTCGAATTGGATCGAAATGCAACCCTCTATATTTATTAAGTTTTTATATCTTTCGACATAAAATAAAAAAATCATACAATCTCTCTTTACATCTAATCATTTATGTGCTTGTTTTTTTTTTGTAATACAAACCTTGTCTACCTGCTGTCCTAGATATATTCAAAATAGAAAAATACATTCAATAATCGCGAAGACATAGACAATTATTATATTATATATCTTACCTGGCGACAGCTGATGTGGAGGCATAGGAAGAACATGTTGCGGTGGTCCCATCTGCTGTCCGTGCAGAACCGGATGTTGTATACCGGGTCCCGGTGGGGGTTGCATATTAGATAATGCATCGAGAGGAGTGTACGACTTAGATGACGGTAATGACTCACTATTACTCTGAAATGACACGTAAGAGATTATGACAGTAAATATATGACCTAATTAATAGTTATTAGACATAAAATTATGACACCTTATATTTTGTATTATACATGGAACTACATTATTTGTAGAAGTTGTTATATCGGCTGTGATCTGTTACAAAAAATGTTCTCTAAATTAGGTATATTAAAAAAATTGCAAAAATGTATGTTTATAAATAGTACAATAGAATAGAAATATTTTCATTCACAATTAGCAATTCCAATTAGCAGTGTCAGATACAAAGTAATAAAAAATTATAAAAAAAATTGTTAAATTGTGCAAAAAGAAGATAAAAATTTAAAACTCTACATCAGAGGCAGCCGATCAGGGTCGGCAGTGCCGACTCACACCTTTAAGGACCGTTTTCACGCTACGTCTTATTGTACGTTTTGTTGGTCATATAAAACGTACGACAAAACGTACGTTTTGTCCAGTGTATACACACAATGTGTTTCCTTCGATAAGACGTACGTTTTGCTGTTTACATGCCACGTTTTATTGTATAGGATTTGTCCTATCAACAAAACGTACAATAAGACGTAGCGTGGAAACGGGCCTTTATAGATATTATAGATTTTATATCTATTTTTTATGTCTATTTGTTTCAGTTGTATCTTCTGTGCTAGTTTCCTTTGATACATTTCCCTTGTAGCATCGTTCCACAGTGATTCTACATTGAATTTTTCCTCGATGATTTCCTGTAGAAAATTTTGTTTCGTGTTCAGTCCCTGCGTCTGCCGGGTTTATAGTTGACTATAAAATCAATCATAGATTTGTACCGCCTGGAGTTTTCAAACGTATATTTATACTGGAGCTGGAGAATTATACTGGAGAAAAATGTATTTCTCGACCATAAGCTCCAGTATAAAAATAAGGACACATAATCAAGAATGTGATGAATTTCACACAAAGATGGGTGTAAAACAAGGCTGCGTATTCAGGAACACGTTCGATATTTTTGTTAGTAGTAATGAGTATTACAATATTATTTGGTCTCTTGGTAAATGTGCGAAACTTTATTTTGCCCAAATTTATGTTTAAGCCAAAGTTTAGATAAGCTGTATACAATTTTTGGACTATTCTTTCAATATATCAATATTCTCCGTTAATAACACAGTATAGTCTGCGTATCCCAGTTTGTTAATAGGGATTCCGTTTACTGTCATTCCCACAGTCTCACTTTCTAGAGCCTTCTGTATGATCGCTTCAGAGTACAAGTTCAAGAGTACATAAAGGAACAAGATGTTGTTTTGGATACTGTTGGCTGTCAGGAAAAACAAACCACCTTCTACGGTATTACCGAATCCTGGCTCAAACCCACAATTCCTGACTCCTCTGTTTAATATAAATGGATATACAATATATCGTAAAGACAGAGAAAATCGTGTGGGTGGCGGTGTATGCATTTATTAATTCAATATTATTACCACAACTTTCAAAATTAACCTTAAGCTATAGATATTATGGAATATATGCAATTCACTTATCTGTTACTAAAAATTCGTTTTGCCTTAATATAGTATGTATATATCGTCCACCTAATACACTACTTGCACACGATAATGTTTTCTTCGCAAAACTTGAAGAACTATCATCTCTTGATAATTTTATCATTACTGGATATTTTAATTTCCCAGAGATCACCTGGCCAATAACTTCATTATCTGACACCGAAAACGCTCATAATTTATTTAAAAGCTTTGTAGTAAATTCAAACCTGATACAACTCATTACAGAACCTACTAGATTTAGGAATAATAACCAACCTTCTACTTTAGATCTAGTGCTTATTAATGACGAACAGCTGATTTCATCTCTCAAAGTCAGTTCTCCATAGGAAAGTCAGATCATGCAGTTATAACGACTCACATCCAGTTCAATCAAATATTACCCGCAAAAATCACATTGTAACATATGCTACTACCGACTTTTCTGAAGTTGACACTGAACTCTCTCAAATCGACTGGCATTTATTTTTTGCAGACTTAAACGACCCCTCATTAATGTGGACTGCATTTCTCGATAAAGTCCACAATATAATTTCTACAAATACTATTTTCCGTAAGAGTTATAAAACAACCTCAAACCCTGGATAAATCGAACAGCAATTAAACAAATTAATCACAAACGACATCTATGGCGAAAATTTAAACACACGGGCTTCTTAGTGATTTCCAAAGCCACCGCAGATTTTCAAATCACTTAAAAACACCTCTAAAAACCCTAAGACAAAATTTTGAAACAAACGTTATTGAAAGTGGTAACATTAAAAAAGTCTATAAATACATACGTTCCTCCATGACATCTAAAGTTTCCATTCCGCTACTTCAAAAATCCAACCAGACTTTATGCTCTTCTGACAAAGAATCTTCCGAAACTCTCTCTTTAGCATTTTCACAGGTTTTTACTAAAGAATTAAATGATGGTTATCTACCTGCTGTTAACTGTAATCGTGTCGGCGCATCCTTACAGCAAGTTGAATTCACAGTGGATCATGTCAAACAACACTTAATTAAACTTCGCACGGCCGTTTCACCTGGTTTTGATGGTTTAACACCAAAACTGTTAAAAAGGTGCGCAGACACGCTTGCATTACCCTTAACGTTAATTATGCAAACCTCTTTCATCCAAAACTCCTTACCCCCTAGTTGGAAATTAGCTTCCGTTACCCTATTTTTAAAAAAAGCAACAAACTCGACCCCAACAATTATCGTCCAATTAGCTTCCTGCCAGTAGTTGCCAAAGTTATGGAAGCCATTATTTCCGAGGAGATGACCAATTCCTTCTCCAGGAACATGTTATTCCAACACAACAACATGGATTTGTCTCTGGTCGCTCTACTCTAACCAATCTCCTACATTATGTTAACGACTGGACCTCATCCCTTAACAGTTCGCAGCCGGTCGACGTTGTTTATCTAGATTTTTCCTAAAGCCTTTGAGCGTGTACCTAAGCGCAGACTTCTACATAAGCTAGAACATTTCGGAGTTCGCGGTACTTTACTTCGTTGGATAGATGATTTCCTGACAGATCGATATTACAAAGTTAGAGTTGGCGAATCTTTCTCACAGGACAGGTTAGTGGAAAGTGGAGTGCCTCAGGGTTCTGTCCTTGGACCTCTGCTTTTACTGCTGTTTTACGCTGACGACACAAAAATATATGCCAATCCAAACACAAACCAGCTAACCCTCCAAATGGACTTGGACTCTATTTTAACTTGGTGTTCCCAGTGGTTACTACCCTTAAACGCGGAAAAATGTGTAGTGCTTCGAATTGGCAAAAATAACTCACTTGTGCCGTACTTTGTTAACGGGCAGCCATTAGAATCTGTGTTTTCGTATAACGATCTTGGTGTTATCGTGAACAGCAGCCTAACTTGGTCCGACCATATTACAATTTGTAAACGTGCAAACTCCAGACTGTATCTTATTCGGAGGTGTTTTTCGAGAGTTTCAATGCAATCATTTTGCAAACTTTACACTCTGTACGTAAGACCCATACTTGAATACGCTGGACCAACGTGGTATCCGATCTGGTTCGAGACAAGACTCTGTTGGAAAACGTTCAAAGAAAAGCCACTCGAATTTCTTTGGGACCGAGAAGACCGTCTTATGCAGAAAGACTTAGTATGGCTAACCTCACTACTTTTGAACTTCGCCGACAACGTGGAGACTTAATTACAACATTCAAAATACTAAAATTCAATTTTGGAAATATCGATGAAATATTTATCATAAATCAAGAATGAACGCCCAGAGGTCAATATAAACTAAAGAAAGAAAATTTTTCTATAAGACAAAAACAAAACTTTCTTCCAAATAGAGTTTTTGAGTGCTGGAATAACCTCAACGATAACATTGTCTCCGCTTCCTCTACCAACTCGTTCAAAAACAGACTTGACAGTTTTATATTATAGTTAAAATATTGTTTTTCTTTTAATCCAAAAATTGTAATTTTATTTCTTTTATTTGTAATTTTTGTTATTTACTAGTAGGTGATTAATGAAATTTCTTTGTTTTTGGGCATAATAGGGACTTAGTTCCTCTGCCCTCGCTTATATTATAATAATAATAATAATAAGAATGTAGCCTTGCCTTACCTCTAGTTTAATTTTGATAATTTTAGCACACCTAAAAAGGATTTATTATAAAAATATAAACAAAAAATTACTAACGAAAGAGCTAGATGGAAAAAGACAAATCAAAGGTAAATAAAAAGATTTGTGGACAACAGTGACGGACAAACCAACTGTAGGTCAACTGTAGTAAAAAAATCATAGATGAGGCACAAACATTTTTGTATACTATCTTAAATATATATGCAAGTCGAATATATATATATATATATATATATATATATATATATATTATATATATATATATATTATATATATATATATCAGTTTTAAAACATCTTGCGACGTTGTCCGATGCCTAATTTCCATGGACACTATCATCCCATTGGCCCTCTTTAAGATCTCTTGCGCTCATCGCCTTCTTTACTTTCTCTCTCCAAGATTTCTTGGGTCTTCCTTTCTTTCTGCGGTTTGGTGGTTTCCATTGCATAATTATTTTTGGGAGTCTTGAGTTATCATCCATCCTCTGGACGTGTCCGTACCATATCAGCTGTTTTCTTTCTATGTCTGTTGTTAGCGAGCCGTCAACCCCCATTCGTTGTCTTATCTCATCATTACGTATTCTCTCTCTGCGTGACACTCCTACTGATCTTCTAAAAGTGTCCATTTCTACTGCCTCCAGTTTTCTTCTGTTGTTTTCGGTTAATCGCCAAGTTTCTGTTCCGTACAACAGACTGCTTTTAAGAAGAGATTCGTAGATATTGTGTTTTCTTCTTTTCCTATTTTATGACTACACAGTACGCTGTTTAGACAACCTATTGTTTTTCTGGATTCTGTTATTCTTCTCTTTATTTCTTCATCATCTTTACTCGTGCCAAAAACGATTCCTAGGTATATG